TCCAATCCCTAACGTTCTGTGGTTCTATGATCTTATAATCATTTAGCTTCAACATTTCTCTTCAGTAGAGCCAACATCTATCACACTGCAATGCACGTCACTTAGAAGAATACTAATGACCACACAATTCTCCTCTGTATGTTCATCCTTCCACCTTCTACATTTTCCCTACTAAATTCTTTAGAGGCAGTTCTATAGCTGAACTAGACAGAACTGCAACATAAATGTTTATTTTTAAATAATTTTCTCTCTTCACCAGTTCTCCCACCACCCTCTAACTGCCCATGCACCAATAAATCAGTCAAGTTCCCTCAATACCACAGACTGTGATATTAAGCACAAGTGACCAGCGCACATGCTGAATTCCACCACCCATCTCCTCTTCACAGTAGTATTTCTGCTTTCCTTTGTCTGTTTTAATGTCATTCCTGCATTTCTACTAAAGATTTAACAGCAAAGGTAGCATCAACCATAAGAGTCAGTCTTATTTTACTCCTAACAGATCTACTTAATTCATCTTAGGCATTTTTTAAAGGTCTTAAAGCCATATTTTCTCTCATCTTTCTATAAAATCTTTGACCCTAGTTAACATCTGGCTGCTGCCTCTTCTTTCACAATAAGTTTCCTTTTAAATGCACTTTACTTTGGCTCCCTAATCAGACTTTCACAGAAACATCTATGACCTGCTCCCTCCTTATCAAAGGAATCATAAGTCTACAATACTTTAATCAGAACTCTCTTCAGGAATCTTCAGTCTTCTGGTATACTTGTCCAAAACCAGGGAATATCAGGTTCAGATGGAACTTTCTGTGCTTCCCACAAGACACCTCCATCTTACAATCCATAAGGAAACCGATCACTCACTCACTTTGCGTTTGTTCATTTCCAGGGCCTGTGTTCGGAGACCTAGTTCTTTCTCGCCTGTTCCAATACTGCTTTGCAGTAAGTGTTCCTTCTCCTCCAGCTTACGTACAACCTGCAGCTGGGCATCCACCTGGGAGAGAGGAAGTAGAGAAGGTCTTCAGAGTTGTCATTAGAGCTGCATGCTAAAACTAACCCTGCCTCCCCATCACCAATTACTTCTTCAGCTATGCTTTTTCTCCATGAACACAAGACACACAGTCCAAGAGCTGTATACAGACCTCTCTGGTGAACACTTTGCAATCTAGCAGTCAAATACTCACAACAAAGATGTCTCATTTTTTGGAAAGTGACTTACAGAACTGTTGAAAGGCAGTGAACAGTTCCACCTTGGTTCCAAGGACAGAATAGTATTTATGTAAAATACCATGACCACAGGAAAGTGACTTCTCACTTCCCTTCTCCCTCCTGCTCTCCATAGTAGTGAACCTGTAGGACATTTTACACAGGTGCAGCAGTCTCTCTGTCCTACTAAGACAGGTCCCTTTGAAGTCTGATGCAGTACACCTAGATGGATTAGGAGAACATTCCCTCCTGTGCCAATTTTAGCAGGAATAAAGTTACTTACCTTCATCGTGACTTATATGGTGCTGTATTTTGGATCTGGGATCAAAACAGCATCAATACCACACTACTGTTTTAGCTATTGTGCACAGTACTTACACAGCATCAAAACCTTCTGTGTCCCACAATGCCTGCCAGCAAGGTGGCTGAGGGTGTACAGGAAGCTGAGACACAGCTGGAACAGCTGACCCAAACTGACCAAAGGGATACTCTATACAATATGGTGATGGGCTCAGCAATACAAGCTAGTGGGAAGGAGGAAGGGGTGTTCAGAATAATGCCGTTTGTCTTCCCAAGTAACCATTACGTATGACGGAGCCCTGCTTTCCTAGAAATGGTTGAACACCTGCCTGCCATGGGAAGCAGTGAATCAATTCCTTGTTTTGCTTCATTTGTGCCCACAGTTTTCCTTTAACTATTGAACTGTCTTTATCTCAATCCACCAGTTTTCTCACTTTTGCCCTTCTGATCCTCTTGCCCATCCCACTGTGGGGGAGCGAGAGAGCAGCAGTGTGGAGCATAGCTGCCTACCAGAGTTAAACCACATCACCTCCACCTTCCCACCAGTTCTGTTGTCCTCTCTCCTTCTCCAAGTTACCTGTGTCTTCAGTGTCAACACTTGGTCTGCAAGCTCCTCCTTCTCCTCTTTCAGCAGCTTGTGGATCTGGTTGGACTTGATGCGTTCTGACATCAGCTTGAAGTTGGCATCATCCTTCTCCCGCAGCTGCTGCATCAGGCGGATGTTCTGCTCCTGCATGTCTTCAAAGGCTTGGCCTGTGACATCCATTTCTGACAGCAGGGCCTCCTCCTCCTGCAAAAGGATCACAGGCTCTGGCAAAACTGTCTCCTGTACACCCTACAGTGACACTAAACATTTTACTCAGACACCAAATCTAGCACTGACAAAGGAAGATGTCTCAGTATCAGAACAGTATCTTCCCATTAATCAGAAAAAAATACTCCCTACAAGTCTGCATCACAGCAGAGATACCATTATTAGAAGGTGTAGAAGAGAGATGGTCACCTCCACAACCATTCACAGACTGTGACTCACAGACTGTGGCTTGTCTGCTGGTAAAATCAGCTGTGGCACAGCCACTGCCAGAGCTGGGCAGAAACTTCCTCCCAGCTTCAGGCAGCTAGCTGAATAGCTGTAATACACACTAGTCTGAGAATTCTGCATGTGGACAACTCAACAGTTTCCAACTAAGAGGCTGCCAAGCCCCATAAACTCACTTATGCCACTTCAACATTAAAGGAATAAATGACAAAATAGAACAGTTTTGTACTTATAAGGAAAAGAATATGAAGAAGTACATGTCAAAGTACATGTCAAGTCACTGGCTTGTCTCTACTGAGGTGGTTCAGCTCTCCTATCATTAGATTGTGGAAGAAGATATGTCACAGTACCCTGCACATGTATTAATTATACGGATTGTGCAGATAACACTTTTAAAAAGAAATTGCAACCTCTTT